CACACCCGGCCAACTGGGCATCTCTTTTTAGCCCATGTTATCTGCTCAACCACTCCATGAAACTGCACCAGACAGCCCATTTTTTGGATGAGGAGACTGAGGGATTAAGTAACTTGCTCAGAGCCGGGCAGCTGGTGTGCATGTGAAGGGGTGGACTTCCAGGCTCCCCTTCACCATCTTCTGAGAGGACCCAAAGACACAGTGGGCATCAGGAAGGGGAGGTTTCCCATCACCTCTCTCCCCAGGCTGTGCCCACCTCCCAAGCAGTGGCTTGAAGGGCAGCCCAGGGACAAGGGGCGCGGCCTGAGCTGGGGCTTTGATTCCCTCATCTCCTCAAGCCTTGCTGGAGTTCCATCTTGAAGGCAGTGCATGAGGACCGCGTGTGGAGAGAAGGAGACCCCCTAGCAGCGGTGGGAGTGGGGATTAGAGAAAGGAGAAGAAGGGAGCAGCTTCTGGGTCATGACCTCGTGAGCCCTGAGGCGTTTCTGTCAGGCTTGGTTCCTGAGGTGGCCCTGGCTTCCTGTCAGGAAGTCCCTGAGGGATCCTCAGGGGAACAAAAAGGCAGTCTGTTGAGCTGAGAGGAATTGAGGCAAGTGAAGGAGTTTGATTCAGAAGATGGCAGAGAGGGAGAATGAGGGTGCAAGGAGGAAGGAAGGAAGGAATTTGGCAGGAATTTGGCAAGCTGAGGACAAGGACGGGAAGCAAGGCAAGGACTGACTCACAACTTTTGCCTTTTTAGGCTTGAACCTTCTAATCGTGGGCTGCGATGGGGGTGCAGTAGCGGGAGGCAGGCCAGCCGCCTCCCTGGCAGCTCCTTCCTGCCACCCTCAGATCAGATCTGTTTCCAGAATTACCTTTTCCCTCCAAAGTTTTCTGCGAGACCTCCCTCTGGGAGCTTGCTGACCGTGTGCATGTGGTGCCATCTGTTCAGAGCCCACGCCTGGGATGTGCAGTCACACATGTTCGCATTGATGTACGGGGGAAAGCAGGGGAGAATATCGAGAACAGTGTGGGGCCCCAGGGGTGGAGGGGACTCAGTGGAACTCTCCTTGGGATGAGACTTGGCCTGCGTGGGTCCCTGAGGAGGAGCTTATCCCTCGGAGCTTTGGGGAAACTGAGACCAGGGGATTGTGTTGCACTAAGAAGCGGGTGAAAATCTGAAGGCTAGACACCCTGGAGGAAAATCTGAATGAGTCAGCTGAGCGGCCAGAAGCAGGGAGATGGACAAGAGAGCGGACTCGTTCCATGTGGCGGTCCTGGGAAGTTTCTGAGGGACATCCCTATATGCCACCACAGTTCATGGGAGAGCTGGTTGGGCTGAGGGTAGGTACTGAGAGGGCAGATCTGAGAGGGTACATGGCATTTTACTGAATCAGTTTGAGCAAGTGATCTCAAATGACCCAATATGGAGACAAAATGTTTGAGATTTTAGATTTAAGGTTACCATGCTTGAGGGAAGCAAGGGAAGAGAGTAAGAAGGAGGGGAGGGGGAGAGGAAGAGAGTACACATATGTGAGCTTGGTTGATCTTGCAGTAGGCTACGACTGTCAGCAGACTAGATGATCTCAGCCCCCCACAGCACAGAACCAGGCCTGTCCTCAGGGCCCTGCCCCACTCCTTTCACCTCCATCTCTGAGTAGCCACACTGTATCCTGTTTGTTCCCTGACCAACAGGAGCTTGGCATGGGCCCACTCCATATCCTTCAAATGATTTGATACTCACTGTAACCTCCCTCTCTTGTATTCTCTTAAAATCTCAAATGACTCCTCCTGTCTGAGAGCCTCTTGGCACACATGTGAGAAGAAAGAGCCCATCTCATTTGTCGTGGATGTCTAACCTTTCTGGGCCCATGGCTAAGGGTCCAGCATCTTGTGGGAAGAAAGCTCAGGTGGTTTATTGACTGAGTGATTTAACACAGCCCAGCTCCCAACCACAATGGGTTTAGGATGCTCTTTGGAGGCAGATGTACATTTCTAAGAAATGTTCTGGAAATGCCCTGATGCATCTCTCAAGAGCATCCTCGCATGAGTCTGAAACATAATGGTTCTTAGACTTCTCACCCTGGGACTTCCTTTGCCCCACGGGACCCTGATACTGCTATACCCATTCCTCTGAGTCCCACACCTCGGGCACCAGGAACCTCTGAGTCAGGCTCTGACATCTTCTTCTTTCTGATGGTTTATAGAATTGGAGCTTCACTTAAAGCCTCCTCTTTTCTTGATAAAATAATAACACTTTTGTAATGAAGAGTGTGTTCTTTCCTTGGTAGGTTTGACGCCAGTGAACAAAAGAACTATGTCACCTCCAAAGGACCCTTCTCCTTCTCTTCCTCTTCCTTCATTGTCTTCTCGTTCATCTTCCCCACCATCTTCTTCTTCAGCCAGTGTTTCTGAGCATGCTCCAGATGGTTCTTCCCCACCTCAGGTGAGTGTCCTTGAGGGTCCTGCCCAGGTGTCAGGAAGCTGAGCTACCTGTACTCTTCCCACCTTCCACACTTATCTCTGGATTCCATGTGCTCGTAGGTCAACCTAAGTGCAAAGCCAGGGCCAGAAGATACTCTCTCAAGGTTCTACCCCAGCCACCTTCATGTATACCTTTCACAAAATCTCCTGCTGCTCCTTCACAGCCATCCCTGAGGACACAGTCATTCCCTCAGCAAACTTTACAGGGCTTAGACTCCATGCCAGGTCTCCATGAGATACAGAGCTGCTAGGACACCTTTCCCTTGAGAACTTGCAAAGGGCATTGAGGAATTTGCAGCTGTAGGATGGAAGGCACGGAAGTGAGGGTTCCTTTGGTAGCATCCAAGAACCTTGGAAGCAACATCTTCCTTGAATATAAAATATTATCATTGATATGCAGGCTGGACTCTTTCCTTCTGTATGTATTTATCAAGCCTCTGTTACCTGCCAGGCCTGTTCTAGACTCTGGAAAGTAGAGTGCACAAGACAGAAAAGATGGGTGCTCTGGTGAAACCCCTGTGCTATTACCTGCCCTTCAGGCACCAGAGCTCTTGAGAGGACACAGCCACCCCTAGAGTCCACTCATGTTCCCTCTTTGCCAAGGGCCAAGTTCCTGCGTGCTAGAAATAGCTACTTTCTCGATGGTGCAAGGTGGGAGGTTAAAAAGGGTCATTGGAAGGTCTTAAGGGCCATTCTTGTGCTACCACAGCTTCAGCCCAGAGGGTGACTGTCGCTTCTTACTTTAATGGCCTCCAAAGAAGAAGCCTTGGTTTCTTGGTTGTTAGAGGAACATACCTATGGGCAGATCATGCCCTTTAGTATAGACAATGACTGAGCACCCACAGAGGCCCAGCCAGCCCTACCCTCATGGGCACAGGAGCTTACAACAGCAGGGTTCTGCCTTTGCCTTCCCCCTGGCTTTCAACCCAGGTAATCTGTGATTCAGAAAAGCCTTTCATCAATGCTGATTTGGGGGTTCTGGGCAGATCCTGGTAGGACCCAAGGCAGCTACTTAGAACAAAGAGTATCCCTTTGAAATCATCTTAGGCAAAATAATTTTTGAATTTGGGCATCTGAGATGGTCAGAAAAAAGGGGAGGGGGTTGTAGATTGAGATTTGCTTTAATCATATAAATAAATGGTGAAATTTTTAAAATAACTGCTATTTTTGCCCATCCCATCTAGATGACAGCTTCTGAGTCCCTCTCACAGGTCTTGAGAGGCCATGCAAGTCCTCCCACCCCAACCTTTCAAAGGCGAGCCATAGCCCAAGGAGCACCCAGGGAAATTCCACTGTATCTGCCTCATCACCCAAAGCCAGAGTGGGCAGAGTACTGCCTGGTAAGCCCTGGTGAAGATGGCCTCTCAGGCCCTGCAGAGATGACTTCTGATGAGTGCCAGCCAGCAGAGGCACCTCTTGGGGACATTGGAAGCAACCACAGAGACCCACACCCCATCTGGGGGAAGGACAGGAACTGGCCAGGTCAAGAGCTATCTCCCTTGGCTGGAGAAGACTGGGAAAAAGGGCGTACTGGAGCTGGGAAGGAAGAAGAGGGAGGACCAGCGCTGGCAAAGGAGAAGTTGGGCCTAAAGAAGTTAGTCCTCACTCAGGAGCAGAAGACCATGTTGTTGGATTGGAATGACTCCATCCCTGAGAGTGTGCACCTCAAAACCGGGGAGCGACTTTCCCGGAAAAGTGCTGAGAATGATAGAGGAGGCCGTGTGCTAAAACCAGTCCGCCCCTTGCTGCTCCCTAGGGCAGCAAGAGAGCCCCTGCCAACCCAGAGGGGGGCTCAGGAGAAGATGAGGACCCCCGTGGAACAAGCTCAAGGGGAGCGAAGCGTGCCTCCACCCAAGTCCCCACTGCGGCTCATAGCCAATGCCATCCGAAGGTCTCTAGAGCCCCTTCTTTCCAACTCTGAAGGTGGGAAGAAGGCTTGGGCCAAGCAAGAATCCAAAACTTTACCCACACAGGCCTGCACTCGCTCATCCAGCCTTCGGAAAACCAATTCCAATAAAGACAGGGACCAGCATTCCCCTGGGAGAAACCGGCCCTCAGCCTTTAGCCCTCCTGACCCTGTCCTCCGCACCCATAGTTTGCCCAATCGGCCATCCAAGATCTTTCCTGCACTTAGGTCCCCACCCTGTAGCAAGATTGAAGATGTCCCCACACTCCTTGAGAAAGTGAGTTTGCAAGAGACCTTCCCAGATGCTTCTAAGCCTCCGAAGAAAAGAATCTCACTTTTTTCCTCTCTCAGACTCAAAGACAAATCTTTTGAGAGTTTCCTCCAAGAATCCAGACAAAGAAAGGACATCAGGGACCTCTTTGGCAGCCCCAAGACGAAGGTGCTGCCTGAAGACAGTGCGCAGGCCCTAGAGAAGCTGCTGCAGCCTTTCAAAAGCACCTCCCTGTGCCAGGCAGCCCCTCCCCCTCTTCCTCCTCCTACAGCAGGAGGTGCAGGTAAGTGGCTCTGTCCTGATAAATGTCTGCACTTCATGCTGGGCAGTTAGTTATCTTCATTGCATTGACAAGCAGGCATCTTTCACTTCGTTTTGCTTCTCAAATACTAACAAAAGTAGGAAAACCCTAAAGGTGAAAAATTTGGAAAAAATCTGAAAAAATTAGTTTTGAAATTATAGAAGGTGTTGAAAAGAGACCAATCAAGTATAACCCTACCACCACTTTCTCACTTATTTTCTTTCTTTCCATAGGAATATTTTTTAGTAAGTTGTACATGAAATTTTGTATTTTTTTTTTTTTTTTTTTTGAGACAGAGTCTGACTCTGTCACCCAGGCTGGAGTGCAGTGGCATGATCCCAGCTCACTGCAACCTCTGTCTCCCAGGTTCAAGTGATTCTCGTGCCTCAGCCTCCCCAAGTAGCTGGGATTACAGATGTGTGTCACCACGCCCAGCTAGTTTTTGTATTTTTGGTAGAGATGGGGTTTTACCATGTTGGCCAGGCTGGTCTTAAACTCCCGGCCTCAGGTGATCCGCCCGCCTCAGCCTCCCAAAGTGTTGGGATTACAGGCATGAGCCACCATGCCCAGCCTCTGTTTGTTTGTTTGTTTGTTTGTTTGTTTTAGAGAGAAAGGGTCTTTCTCTATCACCCAAGCTGGAGGGCAGTGGCCTGATCATGGCTCATTGCAGCCCCAAACTCCTGGACTGAAGCACCTGGCTAATTTTTTATTTTTTGTGGAGATGGAGTCTCAATATGTTGCCCAGGCTGGTCTCAAACTCATGGCCTCAAGCAATCGTCTCACCTTGACCTCCCAAAGTGTCGGGTTACAGGTGTGAGCCACTACGCCTAGCCAAAAATTTTGTATCGTTTAAAAGTCAACATTATATCATAGATATTATGCCAATTACCATGTAGTATACATTAATGTGATTTAATTGAATATCCTGTCTGGTAGGTATGGTGAACTATTGTCTTATTGTTTAACTTACATTTGTATATATGTTATATATGCATATATTTATATTTTATATATGGTGTTGAATGAACATCTTTATGCATATGTTTTTCCCTTTAAACTCCTAGCCTAAACACTTATGCATATTTGCTTACCAATGAAAATGTAGGCTTTTTAAATAATTTAAACCTGATTAAAATTTTTAAATTCTAAAATTAATATATCAAATAATCAGAGTAATCCAACAATATGGAAATATCTAATAAAAAGTAAAATGTATTATCTTATCCCCTCTCCTCCTTGCCAAAGTTTTAGTCTATTCCCTTAGAGACAGTTTAGCTAAACATTCACACAAGTTCTTTTTTGTTGTTGATACTTGTTTGACTGCTTTGAACAAACTGTGATCCTACCATCCCTATTGCTGATCAACTTTTTCTTTTTTCCTAAAAAGCCTTTTTATTTTCTTATTTAACTTTTATTTTGAAACATTAGTTTTCAAGTAATATATTATTTCTCTTCAGTAGTACCTTAATCAACCAGCTATATGGATTAACAAGAGATTTTATTTTCAGCCAGGTTCAGGATAAGCATGGACAGGCTGAAGTATAACTCTTAAATATGCATAACAAATTAATAAACTATTAAACTTTTAAATAAATTAAATAGATTATTTAATAAACTATTAAAAATGTATAACACATTAAATTTTATGATGTGTGACATAAGGGTATATTATGTCACACATCATAAAATTTAATGTGTTATGCATTTTTTGATAATATATTTGCATGGTTCAAAATCAAAGGGTACAAAAGGTTCAAAATAAAAAGTCCTCTTTCCCTTCCTTGTCCCTGAGCAATCCAGGTCCTATACTGGTGATAGACATTGTCATCAGTTTCTTAGGCATTCCTGCAGACAGAATTTATGAATGTAAGAGCAAATTTACATATCATATTTTTTCTTTTTTTAACACAAATGATAGCACGGCAGCATGCTGTGTGCACTCTTTTTGAACTTTTCATTTTATTTTGGAGCTTATTCCATATTAGTACATAAAGCACTTTCTTCTTTGTTTTATAGCTGCACAGTATCCCACTGTGTAGATGTAACATAATTGATGTAGCCAGCCCCCTATGATGCAAAGTTTAAGTAATTTCAAATCTTTGGCTATTGCAAACAGTGGTACAACAATTAACTGAGAACTTAGGCCATTAAGCACATGTGTGAATTTATCTCTAGGATAAATTCTTAGAAGTGGAAATACTGGAGCAAAGGATATGTGAATCGGGAATTTTGATAGATACTGTTAACTTGTCCTTCATCAACAGTGTGCTTGTTCACATTCCCAGCAGCAAAGTATGAGAACTCGATCTCTACATTTGCACTAACTGGTATGTTACTGATCTGATGGTGAAATATAGATCTTAGAGTGGTTTGAATTTCATTTTTTGTTTAACAAGGTGATTGAACATCTTTTTATATGTTGAGGAGCCATTTGCGTCTTCTTTTCTGTGACCAGTTGATTCCATCCTTTGTCCAGTTTTCTAATGGTTTGTTGGTTTTTTCTTAATAATATGTACAGATTCTTTATCAAAAGGGAAATTTAGCCCTTTTTTGTAATGATGCAAATTACAAATTTTTTTTTACCAGTTTCTTGTTTGTGCTTGACTTTATTTATAGTGGCTTTTCTTGCGTAAAATTTCTAACTTCATATAGTAGTTTGAAACATTTTTATTATATGGCTTCTGGGTTTTATATAGTAGTTAGAAAGAGCGTCTTCCAAGTTTGTAGAAGAAATTTCTCACAGTTTCTTCTAGTCTTCTTGATTATTTTCAATATTTTAACATTTAAGTATTTACATCAATAAATTTTCCTAGTATAAAATGTGAGCTATAGATTCAGCCTTACTTTTTATATGTTTCCCTGGCTATCCTAAAAAATTAGTGAATAATCTCTCTTTTCCTCTCTTATGTAAGATGACACATTTATCACATATAAGATTCCTGAACTTGGACTTATTTCCACACCATCTATTATATTCAATTTAGTTGTCTGTTATGTATCAATACCACACTATTTTAAATATCTAATTTTATATATTTACATATTTTTTAATTTTAGGTATTTTACTATCTGGTAGGAAGAGTATTCCCATTATTGATTTTCTTTTTCTAAAATTTCCTGACTCTTCTTGCTTGTTTGATATTCTATAGGAACTTAGTATAGGCTTGTCTATCTACCAAAAAAAAGTCCTGTGAATACTCTTACGGGATTGAGTTAAATGTATAAGTAACTTGGCGAGAACTTACAAAATTATGGTATGAGTTATCTTTCCATTTGTTCATGTCTTTTTTGTGACCCTCAGGAATATTGTACACTTTAGAGCATATAGATCTAGCATAATCATTAATTTTATTAATAGATGTATTAGTTTTTGTTGCTATCGTCAATAAGATATTTTCCAGTTTATCTTTCTACTGTTGTTTGTATATATGAAAGTTATTGATTTTTGTGTAGTAATTTTGTACTTATCGGTTTTATTACATTCTCTTTGTTGTAAAAGTTTTTCAATGGATTCCCCTGAGTTCCCCCATATATACAATCATAACAACTGCAAATTATACCTTTACTTTTTGCTTTTAAATTGTATACCTCTTATTTATCTTGTCTCGCTGGTTTCTTTTGTTTCTAAAATCTCCAGAACAATGTTAAATAACAGTAGTGATAATTATTTCCTTAATATATTCCTACTCATAATGAGAATGCTGCTGGTATTTTTCCCATTTAAGCATGATAACTGGCTTCTGGATTGACTGAGATATATTTTATCATTTTGAGGAAATAGCAATCTAGTTCTATTTTGGTGAGAATATTTTTAATCACAGATGGATGTTGAATTTTGTCAAATGTCTTTTCAGCATCTTTTGAGATGTCTGATTTTTTCCTCCTTAATTTGATTAATATTATGAATTATACAGTAGATTTATGGATATTGAACCATCCTTGCATTGCTGAGATAAATACCACTTGGTCATGATGTGTTATTACTTTGTCTTATTACTTTATATGATGTCTTATTACTTTTTCATTATGTTTGATAATTTATTTAACATTTTGCATTAAATTCATAGGTAATATTGGCCTACAGTTCATTGATATCACATTTATATGATTTCTGTATGTGCTAATTACAATAAGTTAGGGTAAATGTATTTTCCTGCTTTGATTAGCATGGAGAGCCACATTCATTTATATTCATCAGAAAATAGTATGACTTCCTTGCCTTGGAACAGACTGGGAATGTACAGAATGGAATTAGCTTGGAGTTAGTCAGCTCTGGAAGTAGTGCCTGCCACCTCTCTTAGAAGAGTTTTGTGTTTCTCTCAAGTGTTCTTAGGTCAGTATCCTAAGAAAGTAAAGATTTTACCTAACCTATCAGATTAGACCCATCAGTCTTTTTTTTTAATTTCCTTGCTCAGTCCACCAAACACACACTCACATATATGCACTGACACTGTTGCCTCCACATTGAACTTGGGAGTGCATACTTCCATGCAATGGAGAGAGAAAACAGTATCATGCTCATTCAAATTGAAGTACCTAAAAGTTATTATCATTTGAATAAGAGCCAGGCTGAAATTAACTTGTTTGTATTTTTACAAGACAACTTTCCAATTAAATTAATGGTGTACATAAACTTGGCGTATTTGAATGACTTGGAGTCATAAACTAATTTCAGGTACTTATCAGTGGTCATTTTATAGAAACAATTTTAATGCTAGTTATCATTCTTGTGTATAATTAAAGAACATGCCCTGAGAACCTTCTTTAATTTTTTGCATAAACATTTTTATTGCAGTATTACGTGCATACAGTAACATCTGCAAAGGTTAAGCCTACAGCTGATGAATTTTTGCAAAGTGCGCATTTGTGTAATTTTCTCTGAGATCAAGCTATAGAATGTTATCAGCACCCAAAAGACTCCCTCATGCTTTCTCCCCATTATATGCCCTGCCCAGCAAAGGTACTTATCATCTGCCTCTTAT